AGTTAATAATAATTAAAGTGTATATTGTTATTAATATTAATATTAATAAACTGGTAATTTAAATATCGAGTGTATTATTAATAATATTAATAGTGATTTAAATATCAAGTGTATAGTTAATAATAATTAAAGTGTATTGTTATTAATATTAATATTAATAAACTGGTAAATTTAAATATCAAATGTATCACTAGAATTATCAATGTGTACGTGTGAAGAATGATACTTGTGTTAGAGAGATAAATAGGAAAATGTTAATGATACAGCAAGAAATTCGTGTGTTTCATGAAAAATCTTCGTAAATCTAGAAAATTTCTGAAAAGAATTGTGAATCGATCGTTTCGACCGCTCCGATATTATGCTTCGCGGAATAATTTTCTCCAATATTCATTCATTATTAATAAATATAATATTCAACTTGCTCGATAACTAATAATACTAATTACATCTATCTATAGTATATATAAATAATAATAACAAAGCTTGCACGATACCCAATTCTTAAGTATTAAACTCAAATCTGGCGAGTTCGATCGAACACGGTTTGTTAAGAACCACTCCCCCCGGCTCTCGTCGTACAAAAACGAATGAGATTCCCTCTTCCCGTTGAATGAAATTAAAAAAAATAGCGGAAGTACGAGCCGCCTCGTAACAGAAGGAACGGAGATGGTAATTTCGCGAATGAAAACGGATGTGCATCGATCGAAAAACAAGGCGATCCCTTTCAACGCGAGAGCACCATCCTTCCCCCCCCCCCCCCCCCCGTGTTTCACCATTTCCAGATAAGGGAGACGAGAGAGTGTCATTGAAAGTAGGCCGAGATAGGCGAGTTATTGAAACAAAAGTGGGGTAAAAGACCTCGTTAAGGATGAAGAAGGTTCAGCGACAAAAGGGAGGGATCTCCGTTTAATCGAATCCCTCGGAGAAATATATATATATATATATATATCAATCGCTCGGCGTATATATCACAATTTCGTTGTGGAGAAATGAAAAAAGGGAAGGGAAAGAGAACAAAATAGAGAGAGAAGAAAGAGAAAGGAAAATGCGAGAATGGTAGGAAAGCGTATTGAACGTTTTGAGAGTCGTGGCGGTTCTTTGTCTATTCGTTGGAATTCTTTGTTTTCCATTCCAGGGAACTGTTTCCAGAGCTCGGCTCGTAAACAAGAATGGAAATCGACGGCGACATTCATGATAGTAAAAGTCGTGTAAAAAGGAAATAAAAAAAAAAAAGAAAAAAAAACAGAAAATTGTGAAAATTCTTCCGTGAAGGATAAACGAGAAAGACGAAGAGGAGAGTTGGCGACATTATTCGAGAATCCATCCGGGGAAGGTTGCCATTTTGTCGTGTGATAGTAAAGACCTCGACTCGATCATATCTACGTAGATGGGCCGAAAGCAACGTTTTCTTCCAATTTTTTTGCTCCAATGTTTGGAATTGAATTCGACATTTATAGGTAAGAAAAGAAGCAACGTTTGTAAATTTTATATATATACATATTTTTTTTTATGTCGCTAGGAAATAAATTTGTCATGCCTCTGGAAAGTCATTCGATTAGCTTGTCCTATAAAACATATTATTATTTATTATTACTTTGCTTGTAAACGTTTAAGTTTGTAGATTTTATTTTTAAATAAATGGTATGACACGTGCGGTTTTTTTTATTTATACACGTTTACGTTCTTTTCTTAGATATACAATAATTTTGTGCACAAAGAAAGAAGTACAAGCAGAAGAATGGTAATCTCTACAGAATGGATCGGATAAATGAATGATTTAATAATTATTATTAATTATAATTAAATAATTTAACAATTAATAAATAATGATTTATTGCTGCACGAGAAAAATTTTTTTAGCACGAAGCGCCATTGCTTCAAGAGGTAATGCCAAATTTTATAAAACTTGGCTCACGCCAATTCAGATTATTATATTTCTTTTATTTTATATTTTTACGATGTTTTCCAATTCCCGTAAACATTATCACAACACTTTGAATATTACGTTAGCGAAATATCGTCCGAATTTGCAAGGAGCGCTTTGTCTGACCATATATCGTCTTCTATCACTGAATCTCCAGTCTTTTTGATCTCAATCGGAAGAAGAATATCCACACTTCGTTGATTCGTCTCTCTTCAACTTTGCCAAATTACGAAAACTGAAATTTCGCGAAGGCAACTGGAAAAGTTCGAAACTCTCACGAAATTCTCACGAACTTTTCATCCGGAGTGAGAACTTTCCACGACTTTTGGATTCTTTCGTTTGTGCCGCAGAATGCTCGATGGAATTTCGAACAGCGTCGAAAGAAACTCGTTTGAGGCCGCGGTAACCGCGAAACCGAAGGAAATTTCTCGTTCTGTTTTGGAAAAAAAAAAAAAGAAAAAGAAAAACTCCTTTCCCGCAGTTTTCGGAAAGAGCAAGTCGACAACTCTTTTAAGCAAATATTCGAATTCTTTTTACACATGGCAATTATAACTGACAATTACAATTGACAAACGAAACAAATGCAACGGGAAGCCAAAATCCGAAACTTAATTTTCCTTCGGAAAAATTTCCCTGTAATATATATAAATAATAAAAATATCATTCTAATATAAAAGAAAAAGATACTTCACAGATAAAGGACAAAAAATCAGAAGTTTCTGTTTCTGATAACATCTCTAAGAACTCCGTCGAATTCCTATAATTTCTCTCGAATAATTCACTACCCGCAGGGTCGATTTTTCTGCCCGAAAACAGAACGAGACATCGATGGCGCAGTAATCGCGCGGCTAAGATCGATTGCACACTCGTTAAGAGTGAAGAATCCAGCCTCGTTTATACGGTAAAAACGGGCGCAGGAAATTCGGCGCAACGAGGAGAAGAAACAGGCTCGAGGAACGCGGAAAATGAACATCGGCCGAATGGAGGAAACGAGCGAAACGAATTTCCTCGCGACGTTGAGGAAAATTTCATCTTTACTCCCCATAGTATCTTTCCAATTCCGCGTGTTTAAATAAAACACTCTCAAACACTTTCAAACAGCAAACGTGCAATTTATCGTGAAACTGCGAAACAGACCAATAACTAAAGAAAAGAAATTCTTTGACTCTCAAGTTCCACTGCAAGTTCAACTTCTGCAGGTTGACAGAGTATAATTCTCCGTATAAATGTTCGAGATACTAAAAAAAAAAAAAAAAAAACAAAAAAAAAAAAAAAAAACAAAAAAAAAAAAAAAAAAAAAAAAAAAAAAAAAAAAAAAAAAAAAAGCAGAGAAAAACAAAAGAGCCATCAAACTTGATCAGTTCGAACGCAGAAAACAAGACGAGATACGACTGTACACAGGAGGAAATAGTTTGCAGTCAAAAGGGGGGGGTGGAAATAAAGCGAAGCTAAGCAGAAAACAAAGTTGTTGGCCAGGGAATCCGGTGAAACAGGATTTCAAAAATAGTCGGATGCATCGACACGTGCGTACGCTTTGTTACGCGTTGGGGGTTGGATTACGAAAGTTTCGGCTGGATTTTCAGTTCGAAAGTCAGCTCGTCTAGTCTTGATCGCGTTACTCGCGTTTGCCGCGGTGACGTTATTTCACCTTTCCTCCTCTATTCTCCCTTTTTCTTTTTTTCTTTTTTTTTTCTTTCTCGCCTCCCTTCTCCAGAAGACTTCCCTCTCTTTCCCTCGCTCGCTCGTTCGAGATCTCAAAGGCTCTTTAATTTCTTTCTTTGCGCGCGCGACACTCGATTTAATTGGGAAATTTAGGGGTGGAGGACACTTGCCCCGTCGATAGTCGATTCGACGCTTTTCCCCGGCCTATTCCTTTTAGTTTCCTCGCCCTTAATCGTCAATACTTTCCATTGTTTCTTTCTTTCTTTTTTTTTTCTTTTTAACGACGAAGCGATCGATTTGAAGTGCAATTAAGACTTCTTTGAAGTTCCTGCCATTTCTGTCGCGCGGTTTTGTTTCATTCGTTCTGAACAGTTTTGTTAATTCATAGCTGGTGGAATCCTTCTGACGATGAAAGAAGGTTGACAAGATACAAAGACGCGTCTACTATTCTTTCCATTAAATCCGTCGCGGATTAATATATCATTTGCAGTTTTTTTTTTTTTCTTTTTCTCAACATTTGACACTGTCGAAAGAATGTTTCTCAATTAATACGAAGCCTGTTTCTTCGAGCTAGAGTTGAAACGAACATTATGATAAGTTATTGCTCGATCTTCAATCGGTTAATTTTTTACGAGTCCCTATACACACTCTGAAATTGGATTGTTAACGATTTTCTGTTGAAAGATATTCCCGATATTTTCATGAGATTCAGATAGATTTAATTTTCGACAGAAATATTATCAATTGTTTTAGATATAATGAATATGTCCAAGGCAGTGTCTTAGATTGAATTAAATTGAGTCGTGAAACTTGATACAAAATGAACGTGCAGGGACCAGAGGAAAAATCTTGCAAATAATAATAATGCAAGCTCGATTAGTTTACGAAATTACAGAATATCCAAGCGATAATTCTTATTGGACCATCGTATATAAATTTACATCGTATATAAATATTGTACGTGGCATTGTAAATCTTTCGTCTTAAAATATCAAGCGTTCAAATATTTTAAACGAGATCGATTTTAATATATTTTAAACGGGGTCGATTGCGAGGTACGAACGAGCAGCAGACGATTTGATCAGCATCGGAACGCTAAATGTGGAAACACTAAAAGACGACCAACGATCAAAGGTAAAGCTCACCGCGATGCGTAACGTTCAAATTAACCAAATTCCTCGGCAATTTCGCCACAGCGTGTGGATAGCTAGTTAGTCGAAAAATCTGCAGTTTTGATGCGGTCGCTGCGGCGAACCGACGCGAGTTTGCGCGCTCGCGGAACCAAACTGAGGATTAAAGTCCCTCGCTAACTCCGCTTATCTTAATTAAATTCGAAATTTCAAATTAAAAATCTTCACCTCTATTCACCGATCGGTCCTCTGCTCGTCTTTCGAGCGTCCAACTACCTTTGCCGAGCTTTTATTTCTCAGTGATATCCCTGGATCCCCGGAATATTTTTTAAACGATCCAAGAGCCAGCGTAAGATTCTTTCTCTCGATCACTTTCTATCATCGTATTCTATTTTTTTTTCTTTTTCTCTTTTAATTACGATTGTAAAAGTAATTCCGCGGATTAGTTCAATATTTTTTTCTTCGGTTACTATTTCTTTTTGGATTCGAAAGTCGGAATTTAAAGAAACTGATGTACTTGCGACGTTAACGATATTTATAAATTAACGAGATTATCACGGATATATTAATGTCTATATTATACTATATATATTCTT